GTGATCCGTATTAGGGCTTGCTGACGACAATCCTTGGCATAATGCCCCTCATTGCCACATTTTTGGCATCCATATGAAGATCGAAAAGCACCATCATGAGACTTGTCGCACTTGCCACAAGTGCGGCCCCTATGTCCTCCAGATCTCGAATCAGCGAGCTTGAACCGCTTTGCTGCAGACTGTGACTGCATAGGATCCTGCCTCAGCTCCCTTGCCTGGAGCTCTATCTCAATCTCCCGCCTCCTCGCGGCCTCATGTAGCTCAGCGAGAGTACCATAACGCTGGGTGGACACAAACTGGCAGATATCCATCTTGAGCATGTCCAAGTACCGGTTCATTTGAGCTTGCTTAGAAGCAACAAACTCATGACAGAAAAGGGCCCTCTTAGTAAACATCTTGGTGATCTCTGTCACCGTCTCAGCCTCTCCCTCTCCACCAAATAAACATACCCCATGCGAAACATCTCAGAGAACTGCTCCTAAGACACAACAGCTCTCTGGTTAGGAGTGTACGAGCCAATCACCAATCTTCACCAATCCTTCGCCCCTGATCGGAGAAGTTTCAGGGCACACTTGACCTTCTAGTCAGCAGGGCAAGTGCATGTGAAGAAACACCCCTACACATCATACATACACCTCATCACCACAATCGGGTCCCGAACTCCATCGAACACCGGGGGCTTCGTATTGTCCAAGTCCCGATACTGGAAAACTCTCCCCCCTCGAATCCCCACGGCAGCAACAACCGTGGTAGTTGCAGCAACAACAGACTCAGAAAGTGCAGCATAACGATCATTGAAAAGCTCAATCATGGCGGTCTTGATAGACCCAAACAACTCCGGAATCAATCCCCGGACAACAGTAACCACCTCAGCAGCAATTATCTCACGAATTTGATCCTCAGTCAATCCTGGCTTATCCTGGCCACCCACTCTGGCTCCTGAACCTGATCCCCTCATGAGCACCATACTGAAAATAAACCAGAATATATCAGACATGTCTTATACCATAAAAGCTGTTCTAAATAAAGAAAACCCTTGGGGTTGTGACTTCCTTGTTATGCGCACGAGTCATGTGCTTCCAGTAGTATGATCCCATACTACCTTCTACACCTACCCATATTTATCTCAGAGGATCATTACAAACCGCCCTAATAATAAAACATCTAAGATACGCATACATCCTATCCTCACTCTATCGAGAATGGATAAACATTCCTCAACTGCCCGACTGCTCACACATATACTCATCCATGAAACTTCCACCAACCCTACAGCACTCGTGTATGCTAATCATACATAACATTGGTTCCTATAGACATTCGAATACTTGATTTTACCCTAATCCCACAACCAGACAAGGAATAGGAAATAAGGTTAAACCAAACATTCTCAGACTATAAAATCTTAGTTATGTACAAAATATGATGCATACACTAAGCAACTACAGTAATGATATCGATTTCATACAAGAAGTAACCTTAGGCTATCAGGCAATTCTATCATGCAATTCCTGAAGATCCCTAGCCTATCACTAGCATGCTACTCTATCATAAATATCATATCAAATAACAGTGTGGTAACTTACGGTATACTTCCTTGCTCCAGCTGATCGTATGTATCGTATCCTTCCTTGGTTACTTTTGAAAACCATTTAAAAACTTTTCTAGTTCCTTAGTTTGAGTATGGATTCACAAGAATGCTCATCCAATTCTCTCAAACCAAGGCTCTAATACCAACTTGTAACAACCCAAAAATTCATAGAAATTTAAAATTTTCAAATACAACCCATTTCATCCATAAAGTGTTTACAAAACCATTGTTTCAAAAGTTTTATTCAAAATCAAAGTATCCCAAGATCCATTATCATAAAAATAGGAAGATGTGCACGATCATGCCTTCGCTTTCCCACAATCCTCTGAAGTAACTGAAACAATGTACTAAAACTATAAACCAAAGATTATTGAGTTCCCCAAAGTACCACTACATAACATAACAAACAAAATCATATAAACATGAGCCTTCGGCCTGACTGGACCGCCTCGCAGGGACTACAGCCTATCTGGACCGCTCTACAGGCCTTCGACCTGACTGGACCGCCCTGGGTGTCTTGGCCTTCAGCACAAAGCATGACAACCTCAACCCAGATAGAATATGTCGACATATGTAACATATAACCACAAACACAGATCCAACAAATACAAATAATCATACAGATCTATTAATCATCCATAAACAAGTATATCACTATCCTATAACCAGGATACATAATCTAGTGTGCCAGCATTGGTGCCTTCGACCCACACGTACGGTGAGGAAAACTCACCTCTGAGTTTGACGAATAGCAGAAAAGTACACAGAACCGAGTACAACTCCAACACCAACTCTACTGATCACCTAAACGAAACTGGTGACCTAAGCTTAGTGAATAATCCTAAAAGTCCTAAAATACTCAAACTACTCTTAGGTCAACCTTGGTCAAAAGGTCAAAGTCAACAAACCAGATGAGTCAACCCAACCGAGTACGTTGGGCATTCCTAGTTGAACGCGGGGCGTTCTCCTCTTGACCAAGAAGTCGAGGGTTTAACCGTGTACGCACAGTGTACCATTTGGTATGCCCAACGTACGCACCTGGTCACCTCAACTTCTTATTAAGAGCTTAATACATCAATTCCTTACGCCCAAATCCAGATTTAACCCCAAAATAACATTGTAAGTCATAAAGTTTCCAACTTTATGACTTCGCATGGCTAGAAATTCTTAATACCAACAAACCTAACTTCTTAATCTACTAGGACATCCTAGCACAATCATGGGGAATAAATAAGATCCAAGATCATATTTTTATGCTTCTATACATCTCAAAACGTCTGAAAGGGTAGCTTATATGGGCTGGAGCATGCCATACTCATAAAGGTCAAGACTTGGGACCAAAATGCTTCATGAATCAAGAACTAACAAGATCTAAAGGAATGCAAGCGAAGTTCAGAACTTTATACCTCTTAAAGGTTGTTAGGTAGATAAGGATTCCAGATCCAAACATTCTTCAAGCTTCCAAAGTGATTCTACTTCCTTCTCCCACCTTCAAGGTGACCAAAATGCACACCAAAGGTCAAGAATGCTCAAACAAGGGACTAGGGTTTTCTAAGGTCGAATGAGGTGATGGAGGTTGATGAGAGAATAGACTTGGAGGCCATAAGGATGCTTAAATAGGGTCCAAACCCTAAATTTTAGGGTTTAGAGTCTCACCGCGTACGCCCAGCGTACGTGCACACTACCCATAATTTACAAAAATGCCACTATGGGCCATTTTTCAACATTTCTCACACACAAGGGCTAAAATGCAATTATCTTCATACTTAGGGTTAAAATTTGGAATTACCTCAATATCAGGATGTTACAATTTTAAATTCATCAAAAAATATTTAAACAATCAGGGATGTGTGGATGTCTACTCAATCATCAACACATCAGTAAAAACATAAGAATACACTAAGTTCAAATTGTAAGCTAAAATAACAAGGATCTCCTAATCACTCAAAAACCTCATCTCTCAACTTCAAGTGCTCTAAATATGTTACATAAGACACACATCAAAAATTGTCAGAGTAGAAAGTCTAACGAGACACATAAGTTTTGATCCAACATATCATTTATATGAGTAGTACAAACAACATAACAAACATCACAACAAATCAACAACAGATAGCAAAACATGAAAGAAAAAGCAACAACGATATATACATCAAACAAAAAGCAATATGTTTATACGATATGTGAACAACAATGCAAGTGAATACACTAGTTTCCCACCATATTCGTAATCTCAACACAACAAACCTACAAACAGTAGTGACCACGTGACTTAGGGGATTCCTACCTACATTATAGGTTAAAATGGAGGAGATGAGTAACCTTGGGGGAAACTTGTATGCAAACATATTGTGATTAAAAGACCTCAGAAACACCTATTGGTAGGTAGCCCACTATAGTCCACTAATACATCTAGAATGATAGGTGGTTGTCATCATACCTAATTGATGACAAACATCAACAACACATACACCCTATATGATATGATATGATTAAATCCACATCTAATACAAATAATGACAATAACAAGTAACCTAGCATGACAACTACACTATATCAAATAACACAACCACAACAAACAACAATCTTAGTCATGACAACTAGATGACATAACAAAAAGTACATCAACTGACAGAACCATAAAAGACAACAATATCAATCATGGAAACAGTGCAAAATAACCATAGACAACATTATAGTATAACCATATACATGTAGGCTCGACGAGGATATATAGTGATATGTTAAGCATATTGCACTGATATGTAATACCTTAACATTCCTCTAAAGTAAGCACGATGATGATATATAGTGATGTCTTAAGCCATGATAGTGCAAGATGTTGGATGTGATATCATGATGATATATGTGGAGATCTTAGTTTACTCTCAAAAAGTTGTTAATGCATAATATATTGGTGTCATGTTGTCCTATATGTCTCTATATACACTATAGTCTACCATCTCTTCATAAGGGTTGTTTTGGAAACTAAACAAAGAATTTGTATCATAGTATCTTACATGGTGTCATAATGAGGGTCTAGCTTATCTATGGCTTAACAACTCATTGTATATCCTCATCGAGCTTCTATCGAGAGAGAGAGAGAGAAAGAAAGAAAAAAAGAAAGAAAGAAAGAGAGAGAGAGAGGGAGAGAGAGAGAGAGAGAGAGAGTGTGTGTGTGTGTGTGTGTGTGTTAATGTGTCACACATCATCTAGAGATAGAAAAATGAGTATTATAAATTTTATATAGTAATTTATAAATATAAGTGTACAAGATAGAAATACAAGTGTACACACATGCCTTACATTCATTCTCAAACATAAAAGTAAATATAAATATAAAAAGTACCACAATCATCCCATTGTTGGCGTAGATAGATCTTTTTTTAAATGTATTTCAATTTTACAATCAAATGGAAAGATTTAATCCTTGTTTCCTATACATAGATAGACACACATTTCCATTTTCAAACCTTATCAGAATTGAATTCAAAATCTTGACCTTTAGAACCCTAAAAGAAAAGGTGTCCATCATCAAAAAAAAAAAGAAGAAGCTTTATCACCAATTAAAACTTATGGATTCAAAATGCAAGTTTAAAGCCAACCCTGATGAACATATGTTTGCAACCTCATGCCTCATCTTTTTTGGTCCACAAACAAGAACTCCAACACTTGATTCTTTTTGCTTAAACAACATTCCTAAAATAAACACAAGTATTAGTTTCCAAATTTTGGAATTTCAAATTAAAAAGGATCAAAATAGATATGTATAAGTTTTGAAAATCACAAGGTAAACATTAAAATACCATATGATTCTCTTAACTTTCCTTTAGAATGAAATTTAAGAGGATCTATAAGAGTATATAATATTAATTTAAATGTTTTGGAAAGGTTTAAAATGAACTTACTCTTAAGATTTGGTCTTTCACCGTAATGCACATTTATAGACTGAATGAGTGATTGTTGGGGTAGGCTTTCAAGCTCTCTTTCTGTGTTATAAAACAAAGAATTAGGTGAGGCAACGGGTGTGGCTCCCTCCATGTTTTGAATTTGCTTCAAGCCTATTGCATTTTTTTCCTTGTTCCACCAAAAACCCAAACTACATGCTACCATTATAGACACACAAATGAGCAACATATTCATCACCCCCTTCGACCCATAAGGGTACACTTTGTTTGTGTTTTTATCAATAGGGTAGATGTAGAATCGTGTTAAAAGTCCGATAGATAAAAGGAAAACAACAAAAGAACAAGAAATAATTGCGCCAAGCCATAACCACCCATTTTGTCCTAAAATAGGTGTTATTGGCGCATATGAAGGATTTGGTTTGAGCCAAATGGTTCGAACCTGTTTCTTATCATCAATCGTTGGTTGCTTTTCTCTTGTCACATAGGCCTCAATTTGTATTTCTAGTTTTGAAAAATCCATAGGTGCACCAGATGTCGGTAAGAACAATTCTAACATTATGAGATCGAAAGAGTCTTTAAAGACACTTATCATGAGTATCTTTGGTGTCTTACATTTTAAGGTTTCAACTGTGAAAAAAAGCTCCCTAAATATTGAGATAAACGGTGTGATCCCGCTTCCTCCGCTCACCATCACTAAGATGTCATGCCTGCAACCATAGCTTCATTAAGATGCATTTTTTTTTCACTTAATGGACTTATGGGTCAAGATATGATCTAATAAAATTATTTGTGTAGTCATTTTTTAGTTTTTTTTTCTTATAAATAATTATTTAATAGAAAATTTGTGGAAAATAGGCTTTCCCGTTAACTCCAAACTTTGTACAAATTTGATCTCTTATATTTTTTCCATTACATCTCTCCACACGTGTCGGCATTTTATCAAATTTATTTAACTAAATAGACTTGATGAAATAAAAAAGAAGCATACTCTCTCTCTCTCTCTCTCTCTCTCTCTATATATATATATATATATATATATATATATATATATATCTATATATATATATATATATATATATATATATATATATATATATACACACATACGCACACACACACACACACATAGAGAAAGAGATTAAACCTAACACAAAATATTCTCATGACATTTTTTACCTTAGGAAATTAGTCGAGATAGGTCCATAAGGTCCTTCAACGCAAACATTAAGCCGATCAACAAGGTTTGGAGATGATAATATTTGATAAAGCTTCTTAGACCAACTACCTTCACTTTTGATCATAACACTTAGCTTCTCAGGTTCCAGATTACTACTTGAGGTAATTGTGAATGGATGTCATTGAGTCTTTGAAATACTTGGAACATTGATGAATATGATACTCGTCGGTGTATAATTTAAATCTATTAAATCAATGAAATGGTTATCACATAAATATTCATAAATATTTATATATTTGTTATATTCTATTGTGATTGATGGTACCTTGGCTCTTGGAGAAGTTAAGCTCGAGAGTTTCGCATAAAAGAACACGAGTAGAAATCAAACGAACGTTTTCCTTTGATTGTAGAAATCTTAGGAACCGATCAATCAAGAAGAGGTAGAATCCAGGAAGCATGATGGATGTGTAACCTATGCCGACATGGAACACGAAGAAGACAATGAAAAGGATGTACAAGTGATGAGTATAGAAGAAAACCTCGAACATCTTTCGTCTAATCTGTGGAAAAGTTGTTGCCCACATGATCAATCCTGATAACAGAGACAACTCTCCCGCTACATTTGATATATCGGTTTTTGCCCATTTCAACATCTAAATCCAACATTATAATAGAAAATGTCATAAACATTAAAAAAAAAAAAACACTTCTACAAACCACATCGAGGTATAATTATCCTACTTCATGCCAAGGGAAAAAAAACTATGGCATCTAAAATAGTTCCATTAAAATCATGGTGTTACTAATGTTATTATAATATGTATATGCAGTTTGTATTTGTATATACTATCACACAATCATAAGTAATAAGTTTAAAACTAAAATTAACATTATATCCTTGATGTTAAAAGTACTTTGAATTCAACAATCACTTTCTTTGTAGAGTTCAAATTGACAAAAAAGACCACTTGTTCAATAATTTTGGACCACACAAAAGTTGGACTCTTTTTTAGGAAAAAGATTTCACGCATCCATAGCGCACTTCATATCATGATATGTACTTCCAAAATTAACTGGTGGAATACTTTCAGGACTTCTAAGCCATACACTTGTAAAAAAGTTCTCAAAGTTGGATCCCCCCCGCACCCACCACTGTTCAACATTTGATATTTTTATATAATTTTTAAAAAATGTACATTTTTAAGTAATCAAAATAACATTTTTTTATAAAACTATATCAATGTTCCCGGACTTAAAACACTTGACTATTTTAATTTTAACTGAAAGGTACCATGAATCAAATAATATATACCTCTGATGTTTGGTTGGTTACAATCCAATAAATGATGTAACAAACGCCATGAGAAGAGAAGAGGGTCATCATGATATGCCCGAGCCATATGTGATACTTGACACTCGCTTCGGAAGTGAGACCAAAACAATGGCAGGATAGATGAGCCTCGAGTCACAGGGAAAAACAAGAATGCTAGACATATATTACCAATTAGTCCCAACCTTAGGGCCACTGAATCCAATTGCGATTCCCAACTATCATCCAAAACAACAATCAAAATAAGACATAAAATCAAATTTGACGCGATTGATCTAACTAGACTCGAGGAACAGGAAAAGGTAAAAGTAAGATATCGATTCACGTACACTTTTTCTCCTTTTTTTGCAGCCGATTGAGGGGTAATTTTGGCAAAACTGACATGTAAGTACGTCGTGAAAGACCAGACAAGAAGAGCGATAAACATTATAAAGAAAGCAAGCTCGATTTTTGAGACGATTCCCAGACTTTTAACGATCATGGGCCTTCTCCATATAGTTAAGTTACCATTGGTAGCTTCTTTTTGCCTGAAACTTGGAGAAAAATAAAATCATTTATTTGGAGTAATAACACTTTTAGAAAGTATTCAAGTGAAATAACTAATATACCCTTCAATGCGGTTTTTGGTTCGATTTTTTCCTTAAATGCAGATACACACTGCCCATGACAGCCATGAACAAAACAGGGAATGAATAGAGCAACATCGTTGGACCTGAAAGTATATACATGTAATGATTACAAGTTGAATCAAATATGGTGTACAACTAACAATAAAAATGGAGAATACAAGATCTTACTATACGTTCAAATATAAAAAATTAATACACAAAAGAACTTTTTTTGGGATGCTACATCACCCCACTGCCCCAAGTAACTCTGCCAGTGTGTATCATACAAAAGAAAAATATGGTGGTTAGAGAGATGGAACAAACCTTGAGTTCCAAAGTAAGTAGAAGTGGTGTGGGCTCGAACCCGAACGAGCCACTTTTGCTTGAAGACATAGGTTGGTGTCATCACCCATAGGAAAAGGTACCCTACAAACACCAACATCGCAAGCCCTTTGATTATCTTCATGCACTCTATCTTTAGATTTTCTTTCTCTAGCTGATTTACTTGAAGAATAAAGAGAGATGTTGCTATTTATAGAAGTGGTCGGATGTAGTTCGAGAATTAGTCAATTAGACTGAGTGTGAGTGAGTGTGAGAAGGGCATATTTGGAAATGCACCATTTTTAATGTTGGAAATATATGTATGTATGTATATACATATCTTTTCATGCTTGTATGTGTCATAAAAAGATAAGTTGACCACCAGGTTAAGAGAATCTCGAATTTGTATTTAATTAACCTGCATGCATGCAGTGGTTAGTTGTATATATATTACAAGTTAAGTAACATATATAAATTTGCATGTGTTATATTGTGGTTTGGTTTGGTAGGTTGAGGTGCAAATTTTCAATAATGATCGTCACTAATGTTAAAATTCTGACATTCCTATAATATTGTTTAGTGTTTTGTAAACGCTTAGATATTACAATTCACCATTTTTATTTGCATGTACTATTCCTATTTTATAAATATATATAACAACATTTTATTTGCATGTGTTATATCGTGGTTTAATTGGTTTGGTAGGTTGAGATGCAAATTTTCAGCAGTTCATATATCCCAAGTCCCAACGATAATAAATAATTTCACAAAAGTATTACAATTTGCAAAAATACATTATAAGAATATAAGTTGGTAAACACTATATCAGAACCACATCAAATATGTCATTGATATGCATTGATAATTGTATTGTATAAATTTTAATGCATAAAAATAAAGAGAATTTGGAATAAAAGCATGGATCATGTGATAATAATTAAAAATAATTGGATTTAATTCTCTTGTTATGTCATGTTGGATTTAAAGAGAATTTATGTATGTTGCGTAGATCATGCAAAAACTTTTACTTACATCACCTTCAAGTGGGATTTGCCTAAATTGGCGTGGGTTCGTTTCTCGAATGTTGTGGTGGTTGACTTTGGCAAGCCTCCAAATTTATGCACTTCCAGCATGTGCCCTTATGTTGGTGCTTGTGTTTCTTGTCACTTGGCACGTGCTTTGTGGGTGACATGTCATTCTTAAGTTGACTATTCATGGTACAATTACATGTCTAAGTGGCAACCTAAATTCCACGTCATCCTGATATTGAAGACTCCAAAATGTGTGGCAATCTATGTTTGAGATGTCTTCAAAATATATCACAATTTCTGTTTCTAGCAAGAATCAAACAACTATATCTTTTTATTAAGTGTAACAAAAATAAATCAGATATCCAACTTTTTAAAAGGCAAATTATATTTGATTTTATATGCAATTAAATATAAGATGATTGTTGCATCCTTCGATTAGGTTGGAAGAGTAGTATCATCTTTTGTCAGGATGTTTTTTCTCTTACGTCAAATTTGCCACATCTTTCCGGTTTTTAAATGATTGGTTTGCAAGTCATTATTTAAAATAAAATTAAAAATAACATTAAATTAAAACATAATATTTAAATTAAATTAAATTTACATTAAGTTAATACGTAACATGAAAATAAAACATAAAAGTAAATTAAAACATAATAGGAGTATTAAAATAAAAATAACACTAAAACTAATAACTAATGTTACGTTTCAACCCATTTTTCGGACTACGTAACATTCCAAAACTCCAAATAGCACTTAAAAGCTTTTCCGTTTTTTGATCGGAAAATATGAATAGCTTTGCTTAAAATGATGTCAATCTACATCATTTTCACAATAATCTTCATCATTTTGTCAATTATGTCTCAAGTTATTACACAAAGTATTAATATCTAATACCATTTTGTTCATGGACTTCCATTTGTTTACACTTGATCTTTCGCACGGTAATTACATTGATTCATTTAGGTGAGGAAACGTGTGATAATTCTCGTCCAGAACTCTCCTACTGAGCATGTTGTCGATAACAGGGGTCCTCCAATACAAAGACACATGTACGGACCAAAGTTGTATCTTCTATCGGGTTGCATGGTCTCATCACGAATTTCCTATTGTTTAAAGTAGTCGTTTTACTAAGATGTAACCAGTGGCGGAGCCAGGGTCAAAGTATAGGGGTATCCCGGAAAAAATCGCGTAATATTGTAACAACCCAAAAATTTCAACAAATTTTAACTTTTCAAAACAACCCTTTTATTATTAGAAGTATCACAAAACCATTATTTTCGAACATTATTTAAAATCAGAGTCTCCCAAGATCCAATCAGTTGTAAAACCAAGGATGTGTACGGTCACGCCTTCACCTTGCCACGGTCCACTGAAGTACCTGAAACCATAAACCAAAACTATAAGCACGAAGCTTAGAGCATCCACAACCCATTGAACTCTATAGAGTTCAATGGATTGACACATCACCCATTAAACATCTATACAACATCACCCTCAACCCATTAAACACCTATTAAATTCTAATCACTATCGTATTCCTTCTATTGAACCATTCAATGATCATTCAACTCTACTTCATGTCATCACCCACACTCCATTCAACTCTTATTCAATCATAATCATCATTCTATTCAACTCTTATACTACTTGCATTGTGGATGCTCTTAGTGAGTTCCCCGAAATTACCAACACATAACATAAGCATAATACAGACAACATGCATACAAAGCCTTCAGCCTGACTGGAACGCCGCACCGGCCTACAGACTATCTGGGACGCTCACAGAGCCTTCAACATGACTAGGACGCCTCACCGGGCCTACAGACTATCTAGAACACTCACAGAACCTTCAACATGACTGGAACGCCTCACCGGGCCTACAGACTGTAACACCCCGACTCTCAGGTACAAAATTTCAGTCTTATATTTCCATTTGAAAGGTCGACTCGACGAGTAGGATGCCTTGACTCGTTGAGTAGGCATAGTTTTGGTTGTGGGTTTTAAGTGACCAACTCGACGAGTTGGAGTTGGAGGATGAAACCCTAATTTTCGGGGTTTTGCACCCTATTTAAAGGGTCATTAGCCTCCCTTATCCTCCCTTACAGCCTCCATTGAGTCCAGAAACCCTAAATCGCATTTTCTCTCCATATTTGTGTGTTTTAAGCTTGGAAAGTGGATCTTGGTGAGAAGAGCTTGGAGATGAAGAAGCTTTGAGCAAGGAACAGTTGAGGGATCAGAAATCTACTCCATTTTTGCAGCACTTGAAGGCAACAAGCCGTTACCTTGAGCTTCCTCCTATCTAGATCTCTTTATGTTAAAGATTAGGGCCATTTTAGCTTGTTTGGTGTTTCATTTCGGGTATTGAGCATGATCTGAAGTTGCAACTTCAGATCTAGACTCATATTGGTTCTTATGATCATAAAGTTTCAGCCTTTAGCAAGATAATGCATTATCATCACTTAGAACCTCTTCTCTAGCTTGATTTTGGCCATTAACACCTTGCATGTACGTAAAGTTTGCAACTTTACGTAGAAAGTATGCTCTAGGAACTCAGATCTGCAATATGGAGCTTTGGGGGTGGCTTATAAGCATCTGAATGGAGAAAGGACTGAAGAGACTCGATGAGTTGCGTGGCCAACTCGGCGAGTCCGATGAAGAAAATCCTTGAGGGTTTCTGCATGAACTCGGCGAGTCAGCAGGATGACTCGACGAGCCAGTTAGGGTTCCTCGACTTCTGAACACGCATAGACTCGACGAGTTGGTAGTAAACTCGGTGAGTCAGTGAGGGCTTTATAACCTTCTGAACCCTTAAGGAACTCGACGAGTTGCTAGTTGCACTCGACGAGTTGGGTCAACATGGACTGTTGACTTTGATCGTTGACTTTGACTTTGACCAAGGGTTGACCAGTTGACTTCTGGGGGTATTTTGGTAACTTGGAAATTTATGGGAATGGGCTTATGATAAATATAGGTGGTGGAGTCCGTGGCTATGGTTCGAGAGTTTGAGCTTATCACTTCAGTTCGACAGTTGTGAGGTGAGTTTTCCTCACTATGCTCAAGGGTCTAAGGCACCAAGGCTGGCCCTTTTTGATTGTTACTCTGATATGTTATGCTAGTATGAGTTGTAGGTTAGCATCCTGGTAGATAGGATGGTATTATGTTGCTATGATCTGTAGATCAGTATCTTGGTAGATAGGATGATGTTATGCTAGTATAATCGGTTAGATCGGTTTGTATGTCTATAGACTGTTATGTGACTATCTGATATATATGCACATGTTAATTGGTGGTTGAGTCTCCTCTGCTTTGTGCGAGAGCCAACAGACCTGGGCATTCCAACCCGATGGTTTTGGGCCGTGAGTATTCCATTCCGAGGATGATTGGACTCGTAGTATGAGGGCATTCCAACCTGATGGTTGTGGGCATGTGGTATTCCATCCCGAGGATGACTGGACCTATAGTATGATTGGCATTCCAACCCGATAGTTGAGGGCCTGGGGTATTCCAACCCGATAGTTGATTGGACCCATATTATGTTGTTTGTGTTATATGTATGTTGATGTGTGTATGGGTATTTTCAGGAAACTCACTAAGCTTCGGGCTTACAATTGTTGATTTTGTTTCAGGTACTTCTGATGATCGCAGGAAGGCGAAGGCAAGATCGTACACCTTCTGTCATTTATAAATTTGATTCTGGGATATTTTGACACTGAACTATTTTGGAAACAACTATTGTAATAATTAATGGTTTTGGAATATTTTTTAAAAGTTTAAATTTGGCATGATTTTTATGTATGTTACAAGTTGTTATCAGAGCCTTGGGTTGAGTGAATTGGAGGAACACTCATGTGAATACAGTCTCAAACTAAGGAAAATATTTTCAAAATGATTTTTAAATGGTTTTCAAAATAAGAAAAGGAGGATACAAGTGTACGATCAGCCGGAGCCAGTAAGTAAACCCCAAAATACCATACAGTTATTTGATTATGTGATATGTTAGAACAGCATGCTAGTACTAGTGTAACACCGTAAATTTTCAAACAAAATTTTCATTTTAAATCACATAATTCTCATAACACATTTCTCAAAAATCCCATTTATTTAATTTTCAAAACGCAACTCCATAATTGTTTGATTAATAATCC